CTATTCAAATGCTTTGTAGTCAGTGAGGTATTCTTAAGTTGAAGGCAGTCAAACAACTGCCCCAGTACGCCTGTATGCACAAACTGAAGGACTTATCTTAGTTATTCAACCAGATGCTGAGGACAATTGCAATGAAAGATGCACAAACAAGGTTAGATTAAAAAGCCTGTGGTTACTGAAATCCAGTCAATTTAATTTACTGAAGGGATTGTGGAGGCAGGTTCTCCAAAAGTAATCAAAGATGTTCTGCATGCAGTTGCACTTTTACCCTTATGGCCAACTTCTGCTTTCAGAATCACATCCATGACTTGTACTAACTTTAACAGAAGCTGCCCGTTCATATCTGACAAGAGAGTTTGGCCAGAACTACCATCTTAGGGCTTCCTGCAAAGAATTATGCACATGCTTACCTTTATGCATATGGGTAAGTCCCACGAAAGACAATGGGATACTCCCATGTGTGCAGCTAATCACACACATGAGTCTTTGCAGGACCACTCAGGGCCTTTGATAAAAGTTATCGTTGCTCACTGTCATCATACAATGTAAAATCCAAGATGCTGTGAAGGAAAAGAAATAGTGAAGCTCGCCATTTATTTTCTATCTGAACAAATTTCAAGATTTCTAAGCATCAAGCATATGATACTTTCTCTATTCATCTATCTAAGATGAATGTGGGACCCCATTACCATCATTATCAGTGTGCCTCACCATCTTTAATGTATTTATTCTCACAACACCCTGTGAGGAAGGTCAGTGATATTATCCTCATTGTACAGATGGAGAGCTGAGGCACAGAGAGGCTAAGCACAGTCACACAGGAAGTCTGTGGTGGAGATAGGGCCAGGTGTCCCAAGTCCCAGGCTAGTGTGCTAACAACTGGACTCAATGTAAATTAGAGAAATGTGACCCTCAAAAGTACCGGATGCTCACAAGAACTCTGAACTAACAACTGGCCTGTACATTTCACTAGGGCAAGCTTTTTCCCACTGACAGAAAGACCAGATCACAGCAAGTCACAATATTTCAGTACTTCCACTTCTGATCCTGGCTAGGGTTGGAAAGTTTAGAAGTGTCCTAAAATGACTGACCTTCCATTCAGACTCACCCTGGCTTTTGAGATCCTGGCTTCTGTGAATGAAGTCCCTGATAAAGCATAAATTCATATAAACTCACTCAATTGATACTTGGCTGTAAGGAGCATACTGCTGAGGTTCATAAGTAAAACACTTTTCATTTCATTACCAGAAGCCAAATATCAATCTACATCTTTCAGGCTACCTGAGCAATAGATGCACAGCTGATCCTGCCAGAATCTAAGCTATTTATTCTCTGGAGGAGGAAGGCAGGGAGACAAAAACAAGACAAAAACCAAGCATCAACAGCATGAAGTTTAGGAATTTAAACCCTAAGAGTCAGGAAATTCCAAAGTGAAGGTTCTCACAGTAATCAGCTCATCTGCAGTGACATATTGTCCTGAGCAGTCTATGTAGTCAGCCCCCACTCACCCATGCATCACTCTTAAAGTGGTGTTCTTCAAACACAGCTCTTTCTCCTCCTCTGAGTTGCCATTCCCTCATCTCTCACTACTGCCCCTGCCTTACACACATTCCACAGGCAAAAGGGAGGAGGCTAACTTCATTAAAATTATTCTCTGTAAATAATTTGCTTGGCTCTGATAAAACAGATTTGGCTTCCTTTTCTCCTCCCCCATCCTAGAAACTTGGGCAAAAAAATAATAATAATAACATAATGTGAAACACCTTCCTTTTTCCCCACAGGAGTGAGGGTGCCAAGAAGAGAGATAATACTGCATTGTGCCAACTGAAAAAGAAATTTCAAGGGAAAATTCTGCCAATAAGTTATAAGTTAGTGGGAAGTAATTCTGGAGAATGTTAGGTTATTTTTATATGAATATTTTAATTATCAGAGACTGAAAAGTGACTGTTCAGGTTGACAGTGTCTCGTTAAGCAACTTGCCAAGGTCACACAGCAAGTCTGTGGCACAGCCAGGAAAGAATACCAGATCTCCCAAGTCCTGTCCCAGTCCAGTACCTTGACCACCACTTTTGCCTTTCAGTTCAGAAGTCTTGCACCAGATCCAACCAATAGTAATATGTGGTTTGTGGTATTCAGGCTGCTCTTCATTAATGCTTCCTCAGATATATTAAAGGTTAATGATCAGGGATGAAGAATTGCTTCTTTAAAATTAAAAAAAGATGCAAAGGTTGCCAAACATTTCGAACAATCCTGCACTATTTACACCAGGCATGGATTGCAAGGTTTAAAGCAGAACTCCCCAAAATGAATCCAACATAAGTATGCAAGACCCATCAAACACCAACCAGGTATCCTGCTGGGAAAACTAACATCATAAGGAGCCAGGCACAATGCAGGCATTATATAAGTTTCTCCAGACAGCTCAGCCTCTGGCAATGCACCTCAGTTCTGACCTGCAGAACCCCTTGATGTCTATGTCTTCCTGAGTCACTACGGGGGGGGGGGGGGAAGGGAGGAGGAGGGGAAGAGAAGTTGCAGGCTAACAAATACAAAATAGGCCCTATCCAAGTTAAACCAGAACATCGGTGGGGGGGGGGGGGGTAAGGAAAAAACAAGAAGAAACAGGCTACCTTGCAAGGTACCTACCCCCCCCCCCAGATGTTCTGGTTTAACTTGGATGTAAACTTGGAGAGTGGTCAGTTTAGATGAGCTATTACCAGCAGGAGAGTGAGTTTGTGTGTGTATGGGGGTGGGGGGGATGTGAGAAAACCTTGATCTATGCAGGAAATAGCCCGACTTGATTATGTAAAGAGTTGTCACTTTGGATGGGCTAGCACCAGCAGGAGAGTGAATTTGTGTGGGGGGTGGAGGGTGAGAAAACCTGGATTTGTGCTTGAAATGGCCCACCTGTTGATCACTTTAGATAAGCTATTACCAGCAGGACAGTGGGGTGGGAGGAGGTATTGTTTCATATTCTCTGTGTGTATATAAAGTCTGCTGCAGTTTCCACGGTAAACATCTGATGAAGTGAGCTGTAGCTCACGAAAGCTCATGCTCAAATAAATTGGTTAGTCTCTAAGGTGCCACAAGTACTCCTTTTCTTAATTCTTTAAGTGGCTTTAACAGTACAATACATATGCTAACAAACTTAAACAAAGGCTTTGTTTAAGTTTGTTAGCATATGTATTGTGCTGTTATGTTGGTCAGGAGTCCTCAAGAGGGAAGAGGTGGAGGGGGGATGGAAGGTGTTTAAACAGTGTTTTTTATTCTGTTTCTCCCTATTGGTCTGAATTATCCATGACATCCATACAGCATCACATCAAGTCCAAATCATTAGAGGAATGCCTCTACTTGCACTGACCAGAGGATGTCTGGATTCTAATGTCAGCCCAGTTCTGCAGCCTGACAGGAATCAGGTGTTGTCCCCAGTGTAAACATTGAATTCTTCTTTGCAGCCAAACTAATCTAATATGCATTTTGTTAACTGGAACTGGAGCAGCAAAACAAAGAAAACAAATGCCTCATTTTCCAGTTTTGTGGGTGAGAGAACTGTAAATGAAGATTATAATGCCGGACACTGACGGCCTTAAACCAGCCGCCTCAGGAATCTGCCAAGAACTTTGCTGAAAATATGTTCCTGATCTTAGCAACGGAGCTAAGACTTATCACACATCTGCCCACCTTTATTTGAATGAAGCTCCTTCTGATCTGGCAGCTCAGGCATTGTCAATTTCATCCAGAACAATTTATAAACTTGGAACCTAATCCTGTAAACCTGCAATCATTTGATCAATCCAACGGAAGACAACGGAACTATTTGCATAACTATGGACAACTTTTGTGGACTGGTGAGTGTTTCAGGAGTCTATTCCTATAAAGGAAGTTGAATCCCCCATTGAAATGCAATGTTTGGGTACAATACCATAAAGCAATTTAGGATACAGTTCTACTTAAAATTTGTCTTTTAATAAGTCATACATAAGCTGAAATGGCTCCTCACCCAACTCCCATATTCCATATAAACAGACTTAATACTACATATGTCGGGGGGAAAGTGAGTAGTTAAGCATGTTGATGTTTGTATACACAAAGGGGGATATCAGAGGGGAGGGGAAGATGGTGGGGGCCCCGGGCTGGGTGGAGTCACATGGAAGGTCATGTGGGGAGGTCACGTGCCCCCCTTGTGGTCCTCCCATGAGTACCACACCGGCAAGAAAGGATTTCTACTCACACCTCTGGGTATAAAAGATAGTCAAGCATTAACTCATCAACTACCCATGTCAGGAACAAAACAACATCTCTTTTCATTCAAATTATATGGAACTACACTAGCTTCCTCCTGAAAAAGGATAAGGTCCCAAGTTGGGTAACACGAGACTGATCACTTCTGTAGAACCACAAAAAAGAACAACCATAAAACCTTCATCCACTGCACTGGACAACAGAAAGCACAAAACAGGACAGCTCTACGTTCAGAACAAAAACCTGATCAGTAAGGGGCTAAATATTTACTCCTTCTGGATAATATATTCCAAAACTCAGAGATGTAAAGCAAATCTGATATGTGCAATGCATTTCTAGAGAACTAATGTCTTGTACGCTGTCCAATCAGACTGCTGGGAATTACCTCCATATTCCATTCAGTGTATAGTAATATATTGTAATAGTTACAAAAGGCAAACATTAAAATACAGTACTGCATATTAAAATTTTATTCACGGCTGCCTGCTACTTTTATTCTTCTGTACCATATTAGAGTATAGTTGAGAAATAATAGCTGCTTCACTAATTTGGGGGGAGGGAATTTCAGCCCTACTGATGAAGGATTTACAACATAAGTGTTAACTTGGGTTAATAATAGGAAAGCTGCCAACTAAAGATCATATATATAGACTAGTACTCACCTCAAACTCAGTACCTCAGCCAATAAACTGTTTACCCTCCCTCCCATCTTCAGTGCTCCATTGTGTGGGGCAGAGTATGGTGGAATAATGACTCACTTGTTCCCTCCTGACTGGAGACCCTTTCTGTTAAGTGACAGAAGATTACAGGCAAGACTGATGTCACCAAAGCATCCACCCAGTTATGAAATCTGTAGATCAGACTCCCTCTCTCTGTTCCTAAGGAGAAAAAATGAGAAAAGTCAAATTATAAAAGAGAAACAGAGTTTCCCATTGTCTAGGTATTCTAGGCACTACATACTTATGGGCTATACTTTAGGGGGTTATGGGTAGACTTCAGAATAACTCTGGGTACCCTGGGAAAAGGGAGCAGGACAGAGCAGCACTCGCACCACCCTATAACTGAGTATACCTCACACAGCACTGGCCTGACACCACTGGTTGATGCAGAAGAAGGTGCTCACCCCTACCCACTCTGGGAAGTCCAGCTCCACTACAGTTATGCAAAAAGAAAAGGAGTAAATAAATTGGTTAGTCTCTAAGGTGCCACAAGTACTCCTTTTCTTTTGGCGAATACAGACTAAGACGGCTGCTACTTTGTAACTACAGTTATGGACTCACTTTCCCTGGGCCTGCTCCAAAGCTCATTGAAGTCAATGAGAAGTCCTTCCATTGGATCAGCCCCGAGGTGCTCAAGGAGCACAAAGAATAAGACTCTGGTTGGCACCTACGCAGGTGCACAAGGCCGTCTGACCTCGTATTCACCAGCACAATGCCAGCCACAGACTAGCACTGAACCAGCACCTACAATGTCTTCTGATACCCATGATCCAGAGCCAACTTTCACAGGGATAACTGCGTCCAAATAACAAGAACATTTATCTCTATGGAGGTTATGGAGAGGATGGTTTTTAAAACCCCTGCAGAGGTAACATCAGCTCTATAGTTAGATTTATGTTCTGTGGTTGTCACAGTGGCGTACAGGCATATTTTAGTTACTAGCTATTTGGCAGCTCCAGGTTCCCAAAAGAAATAAACATTGCCAGCATAATTTTGGCAGAGCACAATTTGGCAGAGCAATCAAATTCTGTATTTGCATATTTCCACTGTACTGAGACAAGTTCTCATTGCCTGTGGAGGAGAGAAGGAGAGAGGTTATGTCTCCTTTCCCCCTGCTGCCTCAGTGGGAGAGCAGTGGTGCCATCCTGCCATCTGCCAGTTTCTATTAGCTAAAAAGCTGAGAGAAACTAAACAAATGTTTGAAAAGCCAGTGGGCAATATGAGTAAACAAGGTACCATCTTGCCTGGAACCCTCACTTGTTTCTGTGCAGACTTTACTAATGAAAGAGAAAAGAATAAAGTGCAGCAGAGAATTAAATTCAAAACTTGATAAATTTGCTAACAGAGTTATAAACTTGGGAGACATCCAAGGCCTCTGCAGCAGCTTGCCATGCAAGAGGCAAATATTGGAGAGGTGATGGCAAACCTGATTAGAGAAAACAAGCCACTTAGTAGCTACAAAGAATCAAACCACAAGTCACGGAATTAGATGAAGAAAATGAATCAGCAAACTCAATTGTTTCTTTTGAGAATGGGCTTCCTAGAGCTCACAGAGCCAAATTATATTTAATGTCTGAGATCTGCAGACAAAAATGCACGTTTGCACACCTACATGTGCAAGGGCAACTATCTACCACAACTGCACACATATATCCAGCATGCAGGTATCTAGGTACCTATTTGCACACACAAGTGTACAAGTCATGGATGCAACTGTGGTAAATGTACAAATTTGCACACCTGTCTGTGAGTACAAACATCGTTTTTTTAAAATCTGACCTTTAAACAAGAGGTGGAAAGTGTCCCTTTATCATGTATGTGGAGCAGAGCCTTCAAATGGATCCTGAAGGTGTCTGACAGCACTGTTAATAAAACAAAACACAAGAACGGACTCATGTGCTGTCTGAAAAAAATACACTGATATAGTCCCATAGGTTTGCATGGCACTTTACGGATACAAAAAAATATATTGACAGGCACCGAAAGATGTACCCAGCGGGACTTGAAAGAAACTAGTTGCCTACTCTCGAACATTTCCCTAGTGAGTGGGGAAGCCCGTCCTACCAGCTTCTGCAGAATCTAGGCCTTTTGAAAAGCTCCGGTCCTAGCCTTTTTTGTTGCAATGCTAAACCTCAGAATATAAAGGAGTGTAGATCAAAGCAGTGCCGTCTTCCCAAAACTGTAGGCTAACAGCCGCAGCACTTGGAACAGTTCACAGCTTTCCCAAACTGCAGCAGAGAGAAAGCTGACCAGAAAGCTGTGAGGACGGGTTTGAGGCCTGTTGTGTTGGTCTCGCTCATTAGCTCAGTAACCTAAATCGGTGTTTCTTAAATGCATCACCAGATTTTTCTGACAGCCTCCGAAGTGCTGCAACAATCACTGCGCTGTTACATATTCATGTTGCTTTGTAAACAAAATAAATCACAATGCGCACTGATTCCCTTCAAAATATTACTGTTCAGTACAGACAGAGCTGAACTATAAAGGCATGGGGTTTTTTTCCAAGTCACAAAGCATATTCACTGGCTAATCGCTATGTTTACATCTCGCGCTACCGTAGCTCCGTAAACGGCTATTGGCCAACGTCACTGTCAGGAAGATTACTGCATGGTGTTTGGGTAGGTTGAGACTGTTCGTGACAGAAGGTGGAAGAGTTAAAATTGACAGTGGATATCGGAAAGTTTTTTTAAAAATCAGTGCCAGAAAATGACTCTGAATGTGATACAGAGATGGTACCCAAGGAGCCAACTGCTGCTAAGAAAAGCAGAACACAGAAAGAAGAAAAATGAACATTTCAGGACCAGTGGGAAATGCAGTTTTGTGATTCCATTTCTGAGCAAGTTGCTGTGTGCGCTGTTTGTACAAAAGAAATGCATCAAATTAAAATGTATGCAATGCAATGTCACTACAGCATTCACACAGGGAAGTTGAACAACACTTACCACGGTGAGTTTCAGAGGCATGAGCTGTTAAACAATGCAAAAAACAAGCTTGAAAAACAACAGTGTCAGCTCAGAGATTTTTTTTTTTCTAATAAAGCAGATAAGATACGGGTGGCTACTTTTAAAGTTGCACTACTTTTTGGGGAAAGCAAGAAAACCATTCAGCAAGGGAGCATTCATGAAGAAAACTGTTCTGGCCGTACAACCAGAAAATACACCACTGAGCAACAACATGTTACAGAGGAGCACATGAGATCTGGCAAATTTTCTACAAAACAAACCAGCTGAAAAAGTCACAGTGAGCCCTTTCTACATCCTGTGCTTGGATCAGAGCCTTGATGTCCTGAGGAATCCCAAGGTAATCATATGTGTTCACTTTTTGGACTGTGATCACCACTGAGAACACCATTGTTCTTCTGAAGGTATTTTACGTCAGGTGAGCCACAATGATAGGCCAACTGGCAAACACATTTTTCAATGGGTCCAGGCAAGAATGGAGGAGTGCCACGTTGGCTTTGACAATCTGTGCGGCTTGACAGTGGAAAGGACAGCAGCTTTATAAATGCACAAGGTGGGTGCTGAACTGCTTCCAAGAAAGCTGCACTCAGCAGCTTTTTTTTTTGTTTCACTGTTTTGCCCATCAAGAAGCTTCAATGAAAAGCATGGATGAGATTGAATCCGTAGTGAAAAAGTGCATCACTGCTGTCAACACCAGCGATGTCAATGAAGGGAGATGAGCAACTTTGTGCGAAACGGGCTGTGAGACACATACGGTGCTTCTGAATTACAACCCAGTCTGCTGGCTTCATTTTAATGACAGTGAACAGAGGCTATTTGAGCGCCAGGAAGAGCTCGTTGAGGTTCTGAACACAGTTTTGCCAGAACTGTCCCAAAAGCTACAAGATTCAGAAGCACATGGCTGTTTGCTCCTTTTGAAAGAATTTTTACCCATGATTGCTTCCTTGAACCTGGAGTTTCAGAAACCTCAGATAACGATATCTGACAGCACTGAAGTAATTAATACATTCAGGAAGACAATCATTGACATCATCCAGCCCCTAAAGGAGGAAAAGACTTTTCAGTTTTTTAAAAGCTTAGTCAGTTTCTCAGCTGTCAGGATAATAACCTGCAGCAAAAGATCAATTTCACTGTCACTGAATACCTGAGTATCCTCTTGGAGGATCTTGAAAATCATTTAAGTGAAGGAAACTATTTCAGTCAGTACCCCTTCGCGACTGACCCATTCAGGAATTCTGGTTGAGGCTTTTTGGCTGCAAACAAACTAACTGCCTTACAAAACAGATTAGCTTCCTTTGACTTTTCAGATTTAAGCAGTCTCAAATACCTTATTCTGTAAATGCGCAATAATGCAAGAATGAAAACATATTTTAATCAGCCTGGTATTACAGTACAGGAGTTCTGTAGTAATGTGTACCCGTTTGAGGACATCTACAAACCCCGAGCTAAAGTTGCTTTTCTTTTCTTGTCCCTCTTTTCTACTGCTGTGCTGTGTGCACTGCATTTTCTGAAGAACAAATACCAAAACTGCCTCACTGATGCTAAGCTGAAAGTTTCTCTTCTAGTTTCACAGGAGACCCAAGATCCTACAGACTTTCCATTCAAAGAGCTCCTGAACCTTTGCAAGTAGTCTGATCCACACAATGGATGTGTTAAAACCCAGAACTTTAATTTCATTATCACACTGTATTAGTAAAGTACAATATAACAGGAATATGTTTGTAGTTACTACAGTATTACCATTTTTATTCCTGGATTGGACTGATTTTTTTTGCCTGTGAAAGAGAAATTTTTTGACTTATTTGCAGATATGTTTTTTTCATTATTATTTAGACTTTATTATGTAAAAGCATTTTTTAAATTTAGTTCAGAATTGTTGTACAGATATCCACCTTTTACCAAAAAAGCAAAGGAAACACAAAAAAGACAAGAACGTGCAAAGCACCTTATTTGTGTTTCTATTGTGTTTAGATGCAGTAAAGAATAGAGACAACTGTACATTATTTTTATTATTGAGTCTGCAAAAAAACAAACAACCACATAAATAAATTACCTTGATTTGCACATGTAAATGTACATATTTATTTCTTTTCCCTAAAGTTAATTAAGTATTTCAGGAAAAACTGTCAGAGCGGCCACCAAAAAATTTGCTGTGAGGACCCCTGAAAATAAAGTCACTGTTCTTGTAAGTAAGCACAAGGAGCTCAGACAAAAAAACAGGGGATTCTGCCTAACTAGAGCAGACAGAGAATTCCACTTGATAATCAGCCTTCCTCTCCCATGATCTAAAACAGACTGTGCATTATTCAAGTATCTGCTGAGCTCCCCAGGGTAAGATGCAGACATTGCCATGAATCCACAGAAGCAGGGGTGAAAGTAGGCTGGTATGGGCTGGTACGATGTACCGGTAAGAAGAGGCCGCCAGTACCAGCCTGTACGCAGCAGATGTTAAGTGCTTTAACATTGTTGTCCCTATTCCCACACACACATACATCAGCGACCCTACCGGCAGGGCCACCAACTGGAGGGGTAAAAGGGGCAGCTGCCCCGAGGGCCGGTGATTTAAAAGGACCCGGGGCTCCCGGCCACCGACGCCCTTACCGCAGCAGCAGCTAGAGCCCAGGCCCTTTTAAATCACTGCCAGAGCCCCGGACAGCATGAGCCAGACAGCGTGGATGGGCTGGCTGGGGAGGCTGACCCGCCCAGTCCCGCCCCATCCCTTCCACCCGAGGCACCGGGCCCCCGTACTGGTAAGTCTTCTATGTTACTTTCACCCCTGCACAGAAGCCACTTTCCCAGGTGATATGTGCAGTACATAGTAGCCAACAGCCCATTCTCCATTGCATTTTCTACAGGAGAGTGAGAAATTAAAAGGAAAAAATCTAAGAATGAAGGGGTAGAAACCGCCTAATCTCCTTTCACTGGGACAGTATGACAAAGTCCATTCTGCTTCAAATTAGGCTAACAGCCTATCCTGAGGGAGAAGGACAATAAAAGCATAAGGAGATGGTATTAAGGTATTTAGATCCCCATGCAGTTAGCATTTAAATGGTCCCAACTCAGCTCTGAAGTTAACACCTTGTGGAGTTAGTAACTTTAGGAGAGCGTCCACACATTTATTGCTGCTATAAACAGGTGGAGACAGCTGTCTATATAGCCATATATGGCTTTCTTTGCCATGGTATACTAAAGCCCTGCCTAAGTAGCTAAGAAAAACAAATACAAAAATAAACCCTTGCTTTGCCAGCTGTAGGGGAAAATTTGGATAGGTAGTGGACTTTTTTCAATATTATTTACAGATAGATACACACACACACACAGATGGGTGGGTGTGCATGCACATGCAAGCTTGTGCACATGATATTCACAGACAGGCCAACAAGGAAAAGCTACCTGAAAAACCTGGGATTGCATTAGGTTCCTGAAGTCAGTGGTATTTTTATTTCTTGCAGGAGTGAATTCCTTAGTCTAGGTCCAGTTCCCACTGAAGTTCTGACTACCTCCAGTGCTCACATGTATTCCTGTATGTCTCAGCTGACCTAACCCAATGGTGTGCTCAATCTAACGAATATCAGGCAAGGTACCTTGAATGGCACTCAGTTTTCAATGGGGAGTCAGCAAAAAGAGTAGAGCACTGTGGAGCTGTATTCACAGCAACCAAGTTGCTGAGTAGATGGATTACTGCATTTTGTGCTATTGGGAGTCATTAGAGGGGGTGTGGTTTTATTCCCAGGTATACTGAATTGCAGTAAATAAGCCTGGCAGTCACAGACAAAAAGATCATCATGGCCATAACTGATAGGATGGGGCAACAGTCTTCTAGCCAGTCGCACGGTTAGTGGGCATTTTTCAAAGCCATGGATACTTGCATATTGAATAGCATTGAGAAATCCAAAAGTAAC